AAACATTAATTTCAAATTATTGAGAATATTTTCATGACTCAACATCTTTCTAATGACTGCGTACCTTGTTAAAGTCTTGCAGGTCTCTAATAACAAAGTTTTCCCTGATCCCTTGGCATTTAAACACCCTGTATAACTGAAATGAAATGCATAGCTGAAGTGTTTTTTTAGGACACTTGATTTAAAGTGAGCTCAAAGCAGCAAAGGACTCTTTGAACATCTCCAGAGTGGACAGTCCCAGAGCTGTCTGTATACAGTTTGAATTAATTATTCCCTTCATGGAAATTGTACAAGATGTCCCCCAGGCTCTTTTTCACTGCCTTGCTGCCCTTTTGTGATAATCCCTTGCTATCCTCTGGGCTTTCTGTGGTCCTAAACTTAACATATAAAGCTATTTTTATCTAGGGGCTAGGGTGTGAATAAATGCAGAGAATGTCTCTCAGCCTGACTTTGTGAGCCTTCCTTCGAGTTGATTAGGAATGCTCAAACTGTCTTGCAAGCTGCCTTTCAGCATCCTCAGGTGAAATAGCTGCAGTTATTATATATATGTTATATTATATTATATTATATTATATTATATTATATTATATTATATTAATGATTTTTTCTCTTGGGTCACAAGAGGCAGCAATCAGCCAGGAGCAAGAGGGAAACTTGGAGGCAGACAGGAGGCTTAGGAGGTGAAGCCCATGATCTCTGTTCTTCAGTGCACCAGTGCTGCGTTAAATGCCCTTGAACAAGTTTCCTCGCCACTCTCAGGTAATGTAGGTGTGACATAGGCATTCATCCCCTAGCTATGCCAGAGCCGCACTATGTCTTTGCTGGGGTTAGCTCAATTCATTTAGCTGGGGTTACAATAGCACCTTAGGGAGATGCGTTCGCAACCCTCCATTAATTTTAAATGGGGACACAGGTGCCTCTAGGGTTCTTGAAAAAGCCAGCCCTTCAAGTTTTATGGAAAAGGTATAATGTGCCAGGAGAAAAGAAGGATTTTGTTCGTGTCACTAGTTGCCATGAGTCCTTAGGTTGGCAGCAACAAGACCCACAACCTCTTTAATGACTAACAGCAGAGAGAATGCACAGCACAAGTGATTTGTACCAAAATGCCAGTTCAGTTAGCCAGCAACTAGTAACAGGTTACCTACCGTACAAGAGCCTTGCTGAGCTCCTCCCAGCAGCAGGGCTGCTCCCAAGAATTAAAAAAGTGTTGTAAATCTAGCTGTTTCATCATTTAAACATCAGTTGAGAAATAGCTTCTGCTAGACTTTAAAGAATATAAAAAATAATAAAAAACCAACCCAAACAAACCCAAAACCAAACAAAAAACTAAAACCACTGTACTCAGCTTGGGAACCAGCCATAGCAGGAATGCTTTTTGGGGTCAGCCAGATAGGTGTCCTAGGGTTCTGCCAGCTGTGCTTCCTCTGTGCTGCAGACCACACTGTCAGGTTTGCTGGCTCAGGTGAGCCTGGTCTCCATACTGCCTCATACCTGCCTGGCTCAAGGGTTGCACAGGGGTACTACAGAGACCTACTACAAGCTAGATGGGGATGAAAGACATCTTAGAGCCAATGTCAGCTTGTTTGTGAGAGGGACAAAACACCTATGAGCACTGGACACCCATAGCACTGGGCAGGACACTATGCATACTCAGTGGGCTCTCTGTCTCTTCTGACAGAGAAATGGTGGTCTTGGATGTTCTGAACCCATGGGAGCTGCAATCGGTCAGTTTGGGTCACAGGTAACATGACCAGCATTCTTTCAGGCCATCATCCTTCTTATTTCAACGTAAACACTTCCCACCTGTCCCAAATATGCATGCCATTCTTCAGGACTTTCCAGCATTGCTTACATTTGTAGAACTTTATTCCATGCTCCCGCTCCCTGTGCCGCATCTGTTCCCATCACAGCTGTGGCCACCCTGTTCTGTCTGGCTGACACCCTGTCCCCCCTTCCCCTCCGAAATACTCCCTCCCCTCCAAGATCAAAATACTCTGTTTTTATTTATTTACCCTGCAGCTGTCAGTGTTGTGTCTGGGTCAGTGCACTGCAACATGGAGGAACACGGGATACATGGAAAATCCTTAAAACTGCCAATCCTAGTAGTAACCAATATACACACCATCAACAAATATATCCCTTGCCCTGTTGCTCCTTTGAAAACAACAGGTCCAGATGATGGAAGAAATGACATTGTTAGAGGCTGGGGCAAACATCCTGGCTTGAACCAGCGCTGGGTTTGCATGTGATCAGGGAGAAGACAGGATATATCCCAGGGAATGTTTTTTTGCACTGCACAGAAATGTGCAAGGCAGAGACATGGCTCTGAGATGTTGGGCAACAGCTTTGCTGTCTTTCTGCTTTCCCCACATATTGCTTTGTAAGATGAAGGGAAACCCTGTAAGTGTCTCAATGTGGAAGATGCTCTTGAGGAACAGGAAGCAGCTGGGATGGTGCATGGTGGCAAAGAAAGGCAGAGCCAGGAATGAGTCTGATTTCTTCTGTTTCTCTGCTGATTTAAAGCTCAGTATCTAGACACCAGCTTTGGTGGAGGTGAGACCTCAGCCCTGTTCAGCCACAGCATCCTATAAAAGATGGGCTAGTACATGGGCTCATCATTGGACCACTCATTACTACATCAGTGCAAATCTTGTCTTGGTGTGAAGACAGAAGTCTTTAACTTAGTAAAAAAATGAGTATGACTATGATTTAGGATTGTAGAGAAATAGGAAGAGCTTTTAAGTAGCCAGTGCCTAATAAAACAGATGGTTGCTGCTGACCAGTGTTGACTGATGTAACACACACTTTATGTGTTTCCAGGAGGACTTGCAGAGTGGCTGGATGAATAGACTTGGTCAAAATTCCCTGCTGTGCTGCTGATACAGAACTGCAGTGGCTCTTCTTCGTGTTGCCCATCCCATCCTGGGCCTAACAGCTACAAGTGAGGCCACGTGCAAGTGCTTATGCTGCTTCATGAAACAGACCTGCAGGACCAGGTGCTGATGGACGTGTAGAATGCCCAGTTCTCCCAGCTCTGGGTGTGTGATAAGGAGTTGCTCAGCATGCAGGGCATCACTTTTCCCTCTTTAGCTCCAGAATGATGTTAGGAATGGCTGGCATGAAAAAGAGATTTCCTCCTCCCTTTCTCCTTCCCTAAGAATAGCGGGTTTGTAGGTCTGTCAAAAAGCAGAAAGGCGACTAAAGCCCAATTGAGAAAGGAGCAGGTTGCAGCACTGTGACCAGGTCACAGGTGCCTTTGATCAGCTTCCTATCTGCTAAGAATCATCTGCCTTTTCCCTGGCACCATGCAAAGTGCTGCAAGGTAATTAGCAGGTACTTCAACGAGCACCTTGCTAGAACCTCTCCCTCAGACCTCCCAAAAGGACATGCTTCTGTCACCCAGGCTTCTGGGAGAGGGAACAGGGAGGTGTAGGCAGGCTCTGGTAACTGGCTCCAGGTAGGTATTCTGGTCGCTGCAGGATACCTGGAGTCCTGCATCTGATGTGAAAGTAGGATTGGGAGCCTGAATTAAAGCATGTGTTCAATGGGGACATGCTAGCTCCAAGCACCAAACTTACATTGTGATTGTCAGTTGAGGTGTTTTACTGCTATCTCTTCAACCTGGGGACCTGAGGGCTGCAGAAGGCACACCTTTACTGCAATCCATGCTTCAATCTCTGCAGCTAATGCAACTTGTTGAGAATCACAACCTTGACCATGACCTCCTTCCTTGCAGCTCTGCCTTTGCCCTCACAACCTGCAGGACTCAGCTCCTTCTTGCATCACTGCCTCTTCTGCCAACTGCAGCCCCAAATTTTGTGGCAGTAAGAAAGACCTACAGGTGATGAGAGGTGGGAGGGAGAAGATGACTTTTTCCTGGGAACTTGACCCCTTTACCAGCTGGTTTTGGTTCCTTTCTCATAGGCATCGTTTGAGAAGGCATTATACCCTCCAGAAGGCACAGAAGGTTGTGATCTACATTTGTATTTATCTGTTACTGGTCTATAGTGCACCTAAGTGATGAAAACAGCTACCAACAGCCTGTCAGGTTAAGAAAAATTGATTGCCTGTAACTACAGGTTCACATCCCGCAGTAATATTTTTAGTCCTTCAGATGCAGCTAAACTTGTAGCTAGCAGCTTACTGGGTGTTTAGAGACTGATGTTAATGACATGTTATGCAAAAGTATCTCTTCCGGGACAGAATCTTATTCCTCCTAGTGCAATGTATGCAGTTATTAGTCTTGCACCCCAGAAGCAGCCACATGTCTGATTCTGGCTACGTATACAGCAGCTTGTGAAACATGCCAAGACTCTCTAGTATGGAAGGCATTACAGAAATTTAAGACAGGATCTAAGCTATAACAAGCAGAGTGCATGGCATCATATTCCATCGTGCAGCAGGGGAAACAGGGATGCAAAATATGTTCTTTAGCTGAATAAGCCATTTGGACAAAATAAGGACCGAGGTGAACTTTAGTCTCCAAACTTAAACCAAAACCGGATCACAAGCCTTCTCACATTTGTGTGTTACAGTTACCTCATGAAATTACCCCACCTCCATTGCCACCAGCTGTTTTTTGGTGTAGGAGTTTAATTCACAGTTCCAATTGCTGAAAAAGACACAAAGATTGGGCAAAGCAAACAGGAAATCTGGTAGCTCAACTATGGCAGGGTGAGTCACTTCATTATTCTGCATTGCAGAAACTCAGACCCCAATGATTACTTTTCATTTCTCTTTTGACCTCATGGGGCTTTTTATTTTTTGGACCTGCTTGGTGAAAAAGCATTTCAGATGTGAGCATTGTCTTAGGTCTTCTTGCTGCTTCATGATTTGTGGTTAATATGATGCTGGAGAAACCCAGCAAAAATCCGTCTGGTTAGCCCAGTCTAACTTAATCTAGTCCAGTTGAAGCCCCTCAGCACCAAAATGCAACATCTGAAGACTTTTTCAGGACAAATTAGCACCTCATCACATCCAGTCACCACCTCCACCTGGAACAAAGGGAAAGGGGGAGCTCCAGCAATGAGCGGATGATATGTTTGGGCTTAGTTTGTATTCATGAGGCAGAGAACCTGATTGCAAAGCAGGGAAGGTAAGTGTTTCTGTTCTTAAATAGGAGTTAGAGTAGTGTTAGCTGGAGAATCTGACTTCTCTGTCTCCTACTGGTTAAACTGGTGAGTCTGTGGAGCCTTATTCTTGAAGATGCTGTTCAGAAGCATATATCTGTAATCTGTGGTTTTCTTTGCTGTAGGGAAGGCCTGGTGAGTGCAGTGCTGGCCATGTGGAAGGGCATGCACTGGGTGATGGCTTTATTGTACTCTACAGAATGGGTACAATTCCCTAAAACCATGTAGGTAGCAGCAGTGGCCTGCATCAGGGTTTCAGCTTGCAAAGACCAGTGCTATTATCAGACTACCTAGCACAGGTAGCACTGGATGTGCAGACTTGACAGTTGGCTTCATGTGTAGCAGTAACCCAAGAGTTCACTCAGTTTCTAAGGAGGGATTTGCTGAGCTCTCTGTTACGTGACTGCATGGCTAGACAGTCTAAAGCTGCTTTGGCTACCCATGCATCAGCTGTGCTCAATGCCTAGAGTTGCTTGGGGATGTTTGTTTGATTGTCAAAACATTTTGGTGTCAAGCGCCTCTCCACACCTCCTGGTGCGATGTGATCCCCAGTTAACAGACTGAGCTTGACTGTTTGGAAATCCATTGCAGTACTATTCAGCCCTGCACGGAGAAAGGGCAAGATACTACCGTGCTGAAATGATAGCTGATATGACAGTACCTGCTTGGGTGAGCAGAGCAGTGGGTATGCAAAGTCTGAAGTAACAAGCAAGTATCTGAACTCATTCATCTGCTCTGGTAAGGGGTTGAACTGGAGACAGCAAAATCCAGACTTGCCTGTCCCATGACGGCCTGGTGGTCTTGAAGATGACCAGAGTGACTGCTTCTTGGTTTGGGGTTCTGGGTTTCTTTTTTGTGTTTGTTTTTCTCTCTCTGTTTTAGTTCTTTTAGATCCTTGGTCTGTGCTTGGACAGAGGCTTGGGTCCGCGGTGCTTGACCATGGCTCAGTGAGCAAAGTTCAGCTGTTGCCATGCTGGGGTTGGGCACAGCTTCTCATGTGCACCCCAGAGAAGGAGCTCATCATGGAGCAATCCCTGCTGCTTCCCCCCCATTCCTGGGAGAGGAATGGCTACATCATGTGTAGGGTGCAGCCCCTACACATGTGAGAAAAGAGGGGCACAAGCTGTCAGGTCTTGGATGCTGGTAGTCTCTCCTCCCCAGTATCTGGTGCTGTGGAGGGACAGAGGCAGCAGCTGCCAACCTTTGACAGTGCCTGGCTCCAAATTAACCTGGCAATCTCCCTGCTGGTACCCACTCTGTATTCATTGGGATATCACAGCCATAATCAGCACAAGCACAGTGACTCACCTGGCCTGGCCCTCCCTGCACTAAATCCTGCTATCAAGCTGATGATCTGGTGGTAATTTTGCTCTGTCTGAGTGCTGTAGACCTGCTCTTGCGCATCCTCCTCTCCCTGTAGGCAGAAAGCTTCCCCCCAAATTACACCACCTTCACTTGGTGTATCCACAGCCTCTGGCCACTCTCCAGCACATTGTTTCTTTTGGAAACCAAAAACCTCTGCCCTAGTACCTTATCCCAGGAATATGGCTCTGGAGGCCAGTGAGGTGCCATGGGAGATGCGGACAAGTGCATTTTTGTGGAGGTCCCACAGCTGACGTCATTCCTCAAGACAGGGAGGTGATGCCCATGTTGACCTGCTGAGTATGGCCATTACTGTTAATGCTGAGCAGCTATTCACTAAATGGTCCCTCCTAAGCCCTGTTGTGCACAAGGAAGAACATGGCACAGCACTGGGAGGGGGCCTTCAGAGCAACTCCAGAGCACAAGCTACAAGCTGCAAAATGCAGATGTGTATTACTGCCATGATCTCTCTTTGTTGTGCTGTCTTCTCTATTCCTCCTGTCACCCATTTACCTCAGTTTTCTTTTTATCCCGTCTCTCTTTTGTGATGTTATACCTGGTATAGCAGCCCGTTCAAAGATGATGCTATACTACAGGGCTGGGCTCATTTCATGCAGGACACTATCAGTCTAGCCTCCTTGCATGTAGTAGAGGTACAGAGAGCTTTAATAACTGACTTCCTTGGTCTGACTTTGGGGTTTGAGGTCTTTGTGAAAAAAGAGCAAACATTCATACATACTTTTCAGTATCATTTAAGAAGGAAAAAAAAAAAAAGAAAGGTAAGGAATGAAATGGCTCTGTTGCTTCTGATTCCTGGAAGGAGCTCCATGTTGATCACCTGAATGTTTTACCAGTTTGGAGAGGGGACCCCTCATGTCCTTGGAAAGGGAGTCCAGGTCATCTCCTCTGCTCTCACAGAGTAAAAAGGAAAAGTGAATGGTGCTGAAGGCAGTAATAAGTGGCACTAAGCCCTTCAGTGCCACTTCCAGTGGGACAGCAGGAGCCTCATGGGAAGGCTTTCTGCCAGGGACTTCTCCATTCCCCAAGGAGAGCCATCCCTTATCCATATGCATATCAAATCTATTTGCTAAGCTGAAAGGTCTGACTGATGTTATAAGAGTGTTTTGGGACTTGTTTAGAGTCTTCTGGGGTTTGTCTTAGCTGGAATTGTGAAATGCCTTAGTAATGTGTTGCAGCTACTAGTAATACAGGAAAGCAAATATCCCTTTCATATGTGAATCCACAGACCAGGAATAAAGTTAAAGATAATATGAATGATGTCTTATTGCATATCCCCTTCCTGTGGCACCCTTTGATCTAATTTATGTTATTATTTATTTCAGGGTGACCAGGGAGGTTAATGGAGATTTAGCTGCCAACTTGGTGAACAGGATTTCAACCTGTGTCTGTGATTAGTGATGAAATGAATTCCACAGCTTGAAATCATTTATCCAGCATCTCCAATCACACACAAACATCCTCTGAGCTTGAAAATAAATGAGGGTTGGAGCCAGCTAGCCTGGTGCAGAGATTTGTGATAGATTGATGTGCTGAGAACAGGCTGCCACCCTCCACCCCCATCATCAGTGACTTTCCAGCCCGGGGATGGGGAGGCTTGGGCTTGAGGTGAAGGATATACTGTCTGATAAGTGTTACAGTAGGAGGTGAGAAATATAAGCCCCCAGAGGAGAAGGAAAAAAAGGCAGGCACTGTGCTCTGTTAAGCAGGGTACAGTTTAGACATAGCAGCTGCTTGATGGGCTTCTGGCACAAGGGTTGGGGCAAGAGCAACCCTGTGCTTGCAGCACCTGTTGCTGAACGCTACCCGCAGGTACCAGGGCAGCACAGACTACGCTTTCTGTCTGATACAGTCTTTTTCCAGTTGTGTGTGGAGGTAAGGGGCCTGTGAGATGAAAGGAGAGAGCTGATGAAACAGCTGCCCTCTGTGAGATGAAGTCACAGGAAGGCTCGCATGCAAGTGGCTTTTTTGGGGTTAAAGCTGAATATAAAGTCTGAATTTGAGTTCCATTGTCACAGTTCAGTGATTTTTAATTGGGAAATTCATGTTACTTGCCCTTTCCTTTGTTTCTCCCCATAGTATGCCAGATCCAGAAGCATGGCAGAGGGTTCAGGATCTCAGATTAACATGGTTCCCCTGCACCATCAGTTGAATTAAGCTGTCTTGGTCAGGGTGGGAGAGTGGCGAGTTTGTGGTTCAGCTGGGGAATGGTTATGCATTAAAGTGCGGCCAAGCAGTCACTTGCAATTCTCTGCCCCCATCTCAGTGTTCATTAAGATTCAAAATGAATTTCTAGTTCCCAGATTTGCAAAAGAAATTTTGAAAGGGGGAATGATGTGTTGGCTGAAAGTGAAGAAACCAGAAAGCAAAAAAAAACCTTTAGCTGATGATTTTAACTGATGATTTTGGGTACACATTATTCGTGATTTTGTTGTTGTTGGGTTTCTTTTATAACTGGGGTAAACTCCACTTCAGAGGGACTTTGTGATACAAGGCATTTTATAAATGACGAGTTAATATTGTAAGTTTTACAACCAAAGAAGATGAAAGAGAGATCTCAGGGCTGAGACCTGTGTGCCTAGTGAGTGAGGAATTTTTGAACTCGGTGACACCCATCTGCTTAAACACAAGAGCACTGTGCTTGTGGGCAGCTGGCAAGAGGGGCTGCTACCAAATGCAGAACCAGGGGAGCATGCTAGGCCTGTACCTTGACTGCATTTCACATTGCCTTCTAAAACATCCAGCATGTGCCAGAGATACACAACTGCACATGCCAGGAGAAAATGCTATGCTGATTCTACTGAAAAGAAAAAGGTAGTGCAAAGTTTTCCTTCCAAAGAGGGCAGGCAGATTAAGCTGATTTCATAATTTTAAGTAGCTTCTGGGGTTCTCAAATTATGTATCTTCATTGACTACCTCTGATACCCCAAACCCACACAGTTTGAGTGGTATGAGTAGCTCCTGCCAGAGGTTGAGTCCCTTCACATCAGCCCCAGAGTGCTCCTCATATGGGGTAGCTTTGCCCTGGCTCCTGGAAGGGCTCCAGAGAGTGAGAAGGAGACACCCAAGTGATAAAATTATTATCTGCCACTGGAAGAAGGGCTTGTGAGGCCCATGGGACACTCTGCTATGCAGAACACACAAAACTCCTCTGCTCATTCCTTCAGCAGGAAGCAACATAGGCCAGCATGGTTTTACTTCCCCAGGGCCAAATCAGCTCCACCAGCTGGCTGTACCTATGAGAATTTTCTGGAAGGTGTCCAAAGCTGCTATACCAGTGACTGGATGGACTCTGGTAGCTTATAGGAACCAGGTGCCTCTACAGCTCCCTCAAACCAGTCTCTGGAAGCATATCTCTGTGTGATGGTAATAGCATCATTATTGGAGCTTAACTCTTCACACAGGTGTTGAAGCAATGCTGGCTCTCCTAAAGCTGTTCCATCAGCCGCTTTACAAAGAAATGCAGAAGAGACTTCTTTTTAAGAAAAAGCTAATAAATAAATAAATAACACAAAAAGCCAACCAAACAAAAAAAAAACCAACAAAAGGAAGTGGCTAAGGGCATATTTTACTGTGCACTAATGAACTGTAAAGGATATAATCTAAATATTTCAGATGTTTCGAAAACAGAACAGCAAAAGCGCTTCACAAAAAATCTCTTTGATTTCTAGGTTGCTTCCTACATCTTGCTGCCAAAGTAGAAGCTCCTTGAGCTGAGGATCTTTCCTTTTCCCCTTCCCCCTACCCCATACTGCCTTCTAACCACTGACAGTGGGCAAAAAGTATTCATGTTTCAGTCCAGTACCTTTATGCATCTCACACTGGAGGGTTTTTTCCATTCCCCTGGGGTTGGGCAGGCCATGATTATCACTCTAATAGAGTTAATTAAGAGCCTTAAGGCCCTGACGTTTTGTTTTCTTTGGGACCAGACCTATGGCTTGGGCCTCTAAGCTACCTGCTCTGCCGCAAGCCTCTCCCTGAAAAAACACCCAGGCAAAATCCAGCAACTGGCTCTTCAGGCGCCATGTGCACCCTACTGCTTTAGTGTGAGCTAGGGGAGCAAATGTAGATGTCTGCTCCTTGGCATGTAGCTGAGCTCCACTAGCTGCAGTGAATAGCTGAAACCAGGACATGGACAATAGCTCAAACAAATAAAAATGACCCTCAGAACTTAATCAGTAAGACAAGGCACATCTCAAAGAAGTCCATGTCCAGGATGGGCTTGATGCTCAGAATGCCAGTAGAGCAGCAATCTGCTCAGAGAGCGGGTGAAGACCATCAGATTAGGGCTATAATCACTTATCCTTAGCACCTGGGAGAGCCATCCCTTAAAATGCTCTTCTCCTCTTGCCACAGCCTCACTCAGCTCAGTAGGCACCTCTGAGATCAGGGAAGAACCTTTTATTTTTTTAATAACTGCAGGAGCATAGGGTCACTTTTACATGTGAAATAAGATAAAAGGCTTTTATGTGGGAATTCTGCTGTCCTCTGGAGAGTTATAAAGATCAAAGACTTGAAGCAGTGGTTAATTGCAGGTGAGGTTACTACTGTGAAACAATTAGTCCATGTGTGTGCGTGTGAAAATGGAGAGGGTGCGTTGCTAGCAAACTGGAGTGTCTGCTGTAAAACTGCCCTCAGTTTTAGGAGGTAGTAACTATTCCATTGCTGAGTTATGATTCTTCTGAGTGACCAGGAGTGTCTGCTATAAAACTGCCCTCAGTTTTAGGGGGTAGTAACTATTCCCTTGCTGAGTTATGATTCTTCTGAGTGACCAGTTTGAGTCCACAAAACCTTCATACGTCACTGGTTCCTGTCCCATTTGTAACTGAAATATGAGTCTAAAGACCATGCACAGGACTTAAATGATAGAAATATGAGGACAAACTACCACAATGTTCTGGAAAGGAAACTATGTTCTTTAGTCCATGAGAGCTGTTAAGGTAACAAAGATGAAAAAGGAGATTTGAAAGATATGATTTGGGAGTCTTGAAGCCTTTGTCTCAAATCTTTACAGGGCAATTCAGTAACTTGAAGGATGAGAGTAAATTATTGCTGTAATTTGAAACTGCCAGACCTACAAAACCAGGATGAGAACAGACAGTTTTCCATAAAGCTGAAGGCCTCCAAGGAGGTCTCTGAGCTGTACAGTCAACTCTAGTTTGTTTACTAGTGCTGTGGAAACTGTGATGAATTGTAGAAAACATTGTTATTAAGAGTAGTGAAGAGGGGTTTCAAAGGGAGGGAGCTGAGCTGGTGATTGAACAGCAGAGCAGCCTTGAGAATTTGTGCCTGAGAATTATGAGTCTGGAAAGGATAAGCAAAGCTGAACAGGCACAGCTTTTGGATCCAGGGTACCCAATGTTCAAGAGACAAGGCCTGGGGCTGGCTCTGTGGTGAGCTCTGTCTGGTCAGAGGAACAGCCCAAACATGGGTAGTGAGGGGTAGAAACTAAGACCTGATGTTTTCACAAGGGCAATGTCCTGTTCTGAGATCTTGTGCTCTCCCTTGGGTGGAGGAAATACTAAAAAAGCCAGGGAGAAGGGATGGGAGCTTGGAAGCCAGGTAGTAGCTCTGTGTCAAAGCAGAGTGAAAGACTACTTATGAGAGTTATTGAGACAGTAAAGTGGATTGTGAAGAAGTGAGGAAATGGCAAATAACAAGAAAAGTATATCTTCTGTTCTCTTTCATATCAGATGTTCTGCGAAGGGGTGAACAACAAACAGGTTTTCAACAAGCTTGAAAATAACCAAAGAAAAGACTAAAAGTCTTCAATCTAGCTCTTTAGGCAGTTGATTTTTTTTTTTGTCTTGATTTGTAATTATCCTTTTTCTTTTTCTTTTTTTTTTTTTTTTGCTAGTATCTGTGAATTCTCCAGACTGACAAACTATGAAAAGGTTACTAACATGCAGCTGAGCTGGGGGCACACAGACTTGTAAGAGTGGCACTACTCGCATTGTGTAGTCATTGGAGTTCACTGTTCAGAGACAGAAAGTTAAAATCTCTATCCTTGTTCCCTCCTGGGCTTTTCCAGTTCTGGTTCACATCCTTATAACGTCTGAGGCAAGACACCTGTCTTCTGATCTTCAAAACATGGCTTCGGCTGCTACTTAACCCCTCTTTTCACAACAGGTATCTCTTCTCCCTGCATCAATGACCTAATTGCATGAGTGCATGTTGACACAGGGTGGAAAGAAGAAAGTCTTTAGTTAAGCAATTAGTTGCTACCATTGCAAGTCCTGCCACAAGATAATTGAGCACCATTAAGTAATGTTTGGTTCTGAAATGCGGCAATTATCTCAGTAATTGCAAGGATGTTACTTGAATTCTAACCCATTTTTACTGACATGTGGAATGTTTCTCCTCACATCTAAGCTGCTGGAGTGCCTGGTGTGAGATACTGGGGGAAGCAAGCAGGGAAGTGGAAGGAAGCATGTTCTATTGAAGAGGCTGCCTAGAGCCCAAATTTGGTGGTGGTTTTTATGTTGCAAGCAGCTGATATTGAGCTGGCTTTACCCTGCTCTTGCCAAGACCTCTCAGCCTGGGCAGGGCAATCTTCCCCTTCCCAAAACCAAAGCAGAGACAGGGTGGTGGAGCACACTTTGCCTGGTCTAGCACTTGACCTTACTAGGTCTCTGCCTCCTTTCAGATGTGCAAGTCATTCTTGCGCAGCAGCAAGCTGGTTTCTGCTCTTGAAGGTTTGCAGTCCAGCTCTTCTCCTCCGTAAGGAGCAATGATCTGAGCTTCAAGGGGATGGAATTGGCCACTAGAGGGTAGCACAATTAAAAGCATAAGGAAGTCTTATTTCTTGAAGTCAGACTGTCCGTGCTGGGGGATTCACCGCACAGATGGTCAGACCTCTGCAGACCTGTGGACATGCGGGTGCCTCCAGGCTACCTGCTGCTGGATGGATGGGGCAGTGCAGCAGCAGAAGCAAGCACATAGTGAGGAAGCACTTGCCACGGTGAAGCAGGAGCTTGTGGGAGCAGGAGTAGGGCTCCCAGTGCTGCTTCTGCTCTTCCTGGCCACCATCCTACTTGTTCTCTCCTTACCAGAGTTCAGGATCCCATAGGAGCGTTTTGACTTACCTCTACTGTTGGCTTAATGTAATTTCTTGAGTTGTGGCTCTGAATCTAAGCTCAGGTCTGGGATACAACCAGGTCAGATGAACAATACCAAGGTCTTTTCCTGTTCTGTGAGTTAACACATCTGTGTAAGACTTCTTGGGTTAAGAATACTAGAGTACATACTGCCCTTCTCTTGGCCTCTGCTGGCACATACAGAGTGCCATGCACACTAGCAGACAAGAATGTGACCAGTTCTTAAAATCACTCTGCTGTATGAATGGAGAGAAATCTGTGATGGATCACACAATAAGCAAGGTTTTAATTTTACAGCATGCCTCTTGAGCCAAAGGTCAGAGCAGAGCCATCCTCCCTTGAACAAAATCCCCACCACAACACTGTATTAACATGATATTTAAAAATGCAGCTGCGCTCTCGGGTTAAAGTCCTGGCTCTGCAGAGAGCACACTCCGGCAGGATCAGTTTCAAGGATGGAGAAATGTGGTGTCTGACGCACACTAGAATGTCTGTCTCCTGATCCGCTGCGCAACAATGCATCAAGCATGTCTTGAAACGTGGGCCTTGCCAGTTGCCAGCATGTGCCAGGGATGGGGGATAGTTATAATGTTAATGTAGTTAACTGCGGATATGAAGAAGTCTGTGAAGGAGAAGGCAAATGCTTTTTTTACAGTCGTGTGGCTCATTAGAGCAATTGCAAAATACTGCCAGGGTGAAAGAGCTTTTTCTCTTCAGGGGTATTCACAGCATGCAAGGAAGCCTCATTGCTTCATGGGAGTCATGCTGATGTTTCCTTGCCACATTTTGGGCAGCAGTGGGACACGAGCAGGTGTCCTGCGATAGCACAGTGCAGTGTTATGACACTGCTGTGAAAGAATCTGAGTGACTCAAGGTAGAAATGTCTCATTGCGTAGAAAAGGGCTGGCTTGAAACTGATCCTCAGTAGTTGCAGGATATCACCACTGTGGTAGCAAGACAGACAGAACAGCACAGACTGCTTTTTTAACCATGAGTATGCCCTTGTAACCCATGGGACAAACTGTGGCCTTTGTGCTGTTTATGCCCATTTTAAACCAAAAGATCTATTACCAGATCAGGTTAATAACCCATAACCCATCAGGTTAATGCCTCTTCAGAGGGGGTTGCTGGTCAGCTGACAAGGATATTGGAAGATTAATCTGCTTTTCCCAGGTTACCCTAATTGTGGGACTCCCTGCCCATGTGTACGATAGTTGACATCCAGGAAATCTTGCAATACTTCATCATTTTGATGGGTTTTATACCATCCCCCTCAGACACATTATTAGGAGGAACAGGGAAAGCCATCTATGTTTTCCACCTTACAGTTTTTACAGGCTGCCTCAGGTGATCTGAGGCTCTTGAAGTTTTGCTTCGGAGAGGAGTGTGTGTATCTGAGCAGGGTTATAGTCATATCTAAAGTGGGAGTCATTGCCTTCTTGAAAAAAGGTCTCTTTCCTAGACACACGGACAAGAAGGCAATAGCCTCTTCAGGAAGTGAGAAGCAAATTTATTTTGTGCCTTCCCTAGTAGCTTCCATGTCCCCTTTGCCTCCCACTGCATTGCTCTGAGCTGGTCTATGTGGGCAGGACTGCCCAGGGGTGGCAAGCAAAGACCACAAGGCTCTGGAATGCCTTGCTGAAAGAAAAGAACATTCACCAGCTGGCAGCATGGGTATGAACCACTCCCCTGGGGCATTTGAAACACAAGCAAGTCCAGTAGTGTGTTGAGTTGTGTATGGTGGCTTTTTTCTTGTTGCCTTAGGGAACAAGCATGTCTCTTGTTAGCCCTTGGGTGGCCTGGTCTGGGCTCTGTATTCAGAGCGGCACACTGCTTCCCTGGCCTGACCCTGACCCTGGAGTGCAGAGGGAGGAAGATGACTGGGAGGGGAGAGCACGGGAGCTATTTTTGCTCCCATATCACTATCTAGTTAGACTCCAAGATGCTGTCCTTCACTGCTGTATGCCACCTCACTTGCTCTGAGGCTCTCAAGTGTTTACCATTGACAGGCTGTGAGCAGATGGGTTGGCAAGAAGAGATAAATTTGACCCAAGAAGATGTCATTTGAGGAACAGCTGAGGCTAATGTTTCACCAGATGTCCCAGCTTTAACCCATTAGCAACTTCAAGGAACTCAGTGTTGTCAATGGCTTAAACATAGTCCATTACCACAAAGGCAGGGCACAAAAGCTGTTGTTAAAATTTGCTCAATAAGCTGGTATTCCAGGTTTTTTCAAGAGGGCTGCTATGAGCTCAAGAGCAATAGGGGAGCGATATGTAGCAGTGTTAAATAGCAGTACTTTGCAAGCTTGGTTCAAACAACTGAATTGGTCAAAATGTTACCTATTAGTGCTAAACGAATCTGCTGGTGCATGAACCAGCAGATACCATACTATGACAATGTTAACAAATGCTCCTAAAGGCATTTGCATGACTGGG